ATGAAAAATATTAAAAAAAAGTCCGCTATTTTTTCCTTACTCTTTTGTCTTCCATCACCAATAAATTATCGAACACCGTTTAAAAAAAGAACGTTTGAATATAAATCGCTATCCGTGCATAATAATGATATAATTTAAACAAAAATTGAGATATCAATAAGCGTTCCATGCCAAAAAGAAAAATAATAATTAATTACTAAATGTGATACGAATTTTCTATAAATAAATCCACATGTAAGGAGATCGTGAATGGGAGGCAGACATGGCTGGGTCGCCATGACTCAGCGATGACGTCACTTCAACGGCCACCATAGACTCTTCGATAATGTTAATGTGGACATGCCGGGAATACTAAACGAAGTTCAAGATTTACGGATCAAAATGTAAATAAACATCGATAGTTTAATACGTAATTTGAAAACAATAAAACTTAAAAGGTGATTTGAATGCTTCCATATAAATTCAATGGTTACTTTGGATTTAATGTATTGGTATAATAATATTTAGTGGGCAATGTAGCTAAGGCAGCTTTTGTAAGTAGTTTGTAAGTATGTAATTAGTTTGTTATATATTAAGGTTGGCTTATAAGACTTTTTAAATCACTTATGTGTGTGTATACTACAGCATAGAAGACCTTTTATCATGAAATTACAACAGTTCATTCAATTTTATTTTTACATTTTATTTTTAATCGCGTAAGATAGACTAATACTTTTAAAATCTTGAGACGCCGAACTTAGGTTAACCGTTAAAAATAACGTGATTTAATCTAAAGACATTTTTAATCAAAAGGCAAATTGGCCGTTGCCTTAATTTATTTTCAAAATTAGATTTTAACGTTGTATAAAATGTAAAGCAAACTAAACTCAATTAGATTTTTTGTTCCTCTATCAAATTAACGATCGTTTAATCTGCTGACAATTTGACGTCAGCTTACGATCAGTCCTGTTATTTTGACAGTTACATTTGACAGTAGATTTACTAATCGAAGATTAGATCGAGCTTACATAAACTTTGGTTAGTTAACAATGGAATAACGGTTTTTAGACAACTACAACTAGTTATTTTCATTGTATTCATTTCATAATCGTAACATTAATATAGTAGCTAAGTATGTCGCTGTTACCGCTAGTTATTTACGACTTAAGTCGGCATTTAGGTTAAGAAATGTTAATTGATTAAACTGTAGAATTATATGATTTGATACAAGTTTTAAGCCTATTATTTCATAGGTAGGCAGGCAATGTGACATTAACTCTACAATAATATGTGATTATGACAAATCTTCCTATGTAAAAAAGGGCATAATCCAGCAGTAGACTACCACGGGCTAATAATATAATAAAGAGAAAAAATATATAATGTAGTTAAATTATATGGCAATTATATGAAACAATACACGAACTTACTATTTCAAACCTAATTATTTTACTTCCTCATTTAAAATTAAGAAATATGACGCATATCAAACCTATTATTAATATGTTAATAATATGTAAATTACTTGAAACTATTAGAGAACAAAAACCCGGTAATTGACCCTTTTATATAAAACAAAGAAATAAGGTACTTCTATTTTATAAAGACAAAAAATGTTAACCGTTTATAAAAAATAAGTATAGACACAAGTACATCAAGCTACCATACATTTCGTCCAACAGATTCTAAACCATATTATGAAAGCATATTGTCGAAAATCCATTCAACAAGTTTAACAAAATAAGTGCAGCCCAACATCAAACTGCTGTTCCATTCTTGCTCTATTAAAACTACTTTATATAAAAAAAAACAAACTAGTTTAGAGACATTAGCACTTATTTATTTTTACCACACTTTTGACAATTATTACCCAATTCAATCGTAAAAGCTAAAACATGACTTTAAAGTATAAATTGAGATAAATGTGACACACGTTATCAAGGGGTCTTTTATCGATGACCATAAAAATTTGTAATTAAATAAAAACTGATCTAATTCGCAACTTTAAATCCCAGTCATCGACGTTTTAGTGTAATCTTAAACCAAGATTAAGGGCGAGCCAAAGGTTAAGTACCGTTTACATAAAGTTGATAAGACTAAGAGAAATTTAACTACAGTTAAACTTTTGCATCTCAATCTCCTGATTTGAAAATAATGGTCAAAACAATACAGATGATAGTGAAAGTATGTACTTACTATAATTATGGAACTATGTAATGGCGGGTATCGCACACATTATCACAGGTTTGAAAGTGATACGGAGAAAGTTATCTAAATATTCTAAAAAACAGTTATTCAACGGTTAACCGTTCGTTATTCGTTTCGTTGATGAAGCTACGCCAAAGATGTAGCAAATTGTTTTTTTTAAACCATAACTGATATCAAGGCGTCATGCAATGATTGAAAATATAGAAAAAAATATTATTATCTATTTACTTTTGGCATAAGGCAAGCAATAAAACGTTTATAAAGTATTATATTTTTATCGCATAAAATAGGGAGTGCCTAAAATGAAGCTCTTAAAGCTTAATCAATCGCGAACATCTATGTTAATATCAATGACGCAAACTCCGCAATATCCGTTGACAGGCACAGCAAATATTAGCAACGGTCCAAAGATTTTTCTGATAAGATAACAAAACAAACCATAAAAATTCTTACGACATCGTAAAAAATATTTTAACAATATTGTATCTATCATTTATAAATGTGCCCCATAAATTATCGATACGTTTAATGTCAATTTGAACAAATAAGGTATTTTTAATAATGTAACGATTTACATAACTAATAACGTAAAATATCTAGAACTGATCAGACATAGACAGATCAAATTTTGCTTCTTGAGACAGGCAGAAGCTACTGCTTTACTGCTTACATGACTGTGAATGAAGTTTAGACAATAAATCTCCAGCACCTGTAGCCAAATGCCATTTAGCGCTTATCTACATGTAGAATAGAAAACCAAACTAAATGGATTTGACGTAAAGTTTGACACTTGTCGGTGTCATCCCTATACATTTTGATTTCGACTGTCTCTGTAGACAAGAGCTAAAGTGGCGTTTGGCTTTTTTTTTAATGGGGGAAAATCATCGAATGACTGCTCCCGCCTGGGTGAGGCGGGAGGGAGTGTCAGACTCTTACTGACTAAAAACCACCCCGTTCCTTCTCCTGCACGTCGAGCCGGAGCCCCGGTTACCCGTTAGGTTCTCTTGGCTAAAGGCACTGGATAGTTGTAGGCCCATAATTTGCAATACATACACGACCGTGAAACGTCGCTCACTAATTGACAGCTGCCAGAAATGCCTCAAAAGCCCAAAAAACTTCCGAACACGGATAAAATGTTGAAAAATTAGAAGTTCCGAACATTCTTTAGTAAACAAACAGCCTAAAGTAAACATTGAACAAGTTATAGACACGATAACATGTTGCGTTGAATGCTTACCGTTGCCCATACAAATAGATCAGTGTCGATAACAAACCGTACAAACATACAAAATAAAAATGTTGACACAGTGTGAGAGAGATGAACTATAGAAAGCATGGCTGCCAGTATAACCTGAAGGTCTGTTTTATTTCAAAACTTGATGCTACAAACAGTGATGATGACGACAGATACAACGTCTTTCTTCAAAGAGATAATTATGTTTTATTTACACGAACGTGTAGATAACATACAGTCTTCGACAGTTATAGGTTTTTGTATTGTACTTTTGTGAGACATACTAAATAAATTATTATGTTTTCGGCTTACTCACGTAATAATTTGACGAGGACCTCGACTAGTTTCAAGCCATGCTAGAGGCTCATATTTCAGTAGCAGCGCAACAGTCGTATGCTCATGAATATGAGCCTCTAGCATGGCTTGACACTAGTCGAGTTCCTCGTCAAATTATTACGTGAGTAAGCCGAAAACATAATAATTTAGTTATATGTTTAGCTAATATTGCTTTTAGAATACACTATATTTTTAAAAGGTATTGCGTTAGTGATTCTACCTCTTCAGACGTCAAGTTTTCAATTACAATAGCAATCAATGTTATCAGAATGACCTGCGTAATGTACTTACACACTAATGTCATTAAAGCATCATAACACAATACACAAACAGTTCAAACTGCATTGTTCTCAATGAAAATCCGTCTCAGTTGAATGATGTCAGAACGCAAATACTTGGGTTCCAGGAACTATTAGCGTGTAGGATGTAGTAATGGCCGTGTAACACAACCTTATAAACGTGATAAGAACTAATGATAAAACAGAAATGTACATACAGACATAAATATCATGTTACTGCATGCCCACTGCGAATATTGATGAGAATATAACGTTCTAAGAAGGGTTTACTAGGAATTATGTCAAAGAGATAAAAAACACCCTTTAGATAAATATCATACTAGTTTTAAATCAACACACGTAAGAGGAAAATAAAAATATGAATTAGTAATGGGTGTTTAGCTAACCCTCCGATTGTCAAGTTGATCTTAAATTCAAATTATAATACATTCGATAATATATTCACGCGCACATATTCTAATGTACATAACATACGTAATTATGCTAAATTATATTGAACTTGACGCCTGCCGTAGGTGCAGTACCTAAACTAATATTTACAGAGTAAAATACCCGCTAGGTACGTGACACCGCATACGGAACACTCAAAAGCCACTTAAGAAAACATTACAAAATTGCCACACGTCTTCTAAAATATTGATTGAAACATCCTAATTGGTTATTCATTATTATCAACTACAAATATGAATTTTATATTTGGCCCCTATAATAACGACTTTTGCCTGTTTAAATAAATACTTGGCCATGACACTTGAACTTGAAAACGTTACAATTTAAAACAAAACACTACCTCGTTACATTTTTTAAATGCCAGGCAATTTAGGCTCGTAACGTTTGTCTAAATTTTAACAAAAAATAAAGGTTAACAACGGTAGGGTCCAGTTTACGAAGACAATTACTCAACAAAAACAACTAAATGCCAAGTGGAAATGTCGTGCACTCACCTCATGATACACAGACGTCATCATCTCGAAACACTTTGTTTTGTTTTTGCAAAATAAAGATGACACAATCAAACACACATTTCACTATTAAACAATTCGTGCAATATGGCTGCCACTTTTTAAAAGAGGAAGAATAAAATCGTAGCTGTCAAAATTCCCGCCAAGCGCGCGTAAAAATAAAAGGCAAAGGCACACTGTTACGCAGCCTACAGTGCTGGCGCGTGTGACGCGTTCCGTGTTTAGGATCGGCACTGAGCGACGGGCGATAGCGGTCGGCTGAATGGATGACGATGCCGCTCAGCTGCTATACTCAATGAACCATTCGAGTTCGGAGGTCACCGATCAAAACGACCCCATCATTTCTGTTCAAAGTTTCTCTATTACCCTATAAACCCCAAATTCTGAATGTAAAGAAAGATATTTAGTGCCATTTGTGCAAGTTTAATGTTTCGCATGTTTTTGTTATTTACATAACAAATACTGACCTATATTTATGGCTTTTGTAATGTAGTTTTGGCAATTAGTGACTCAATTTTAATTGTATATTAAAAAAATGTTGTGTCGAAACGTTTTTATGATTTTAAGTGACGCTTGTGCATCGTTGGCGAGTTTTGTAGCAAAAAGTGGAGCTATCGATCCGTTACTATCGTGTTTAGCTTGGCCATTCGAAATGTTTTTTTCCGATGACAGGCAGACGTCGGAGTTCGTCGACAGTGATCATTCAGATTATTTTGTCATAGAACCGGTATAATCGCCTGAGTCTGGAGCTAATGCGTTGTAAAACATGAAGACTTTGGTTATCAATAATCCATTAAGTTAGCTCTTCATACTCAATTTGTTAACCCACTAGAAAAATCGAAATGTAATATGAGCACGTAAAAATGTATATTGTATTCAGTTTTGAATTTTACAGACGATTTCGTTCGGTATATTGCGGTACTGGTTGCAGACAATTGATTTCCAAAATTATAGAGTATGTGTTCCATTGCTGATAGGAGCAACGGGATTTTGATGGGAAATCAAATTAGATTTTGGACGCGTCTTGTCTACCTCTATGCCAAAATATGTTACAAACCAAAACGGTAAACACAAATGATGAAATTCATAATTATGAAGACACTAAATAAGATTTAAATGGCTGAAAGACACTACAACACCATATTGAAAACAATACTCTAAAGTGTCAAGTATCTAAACGCAGTCATGTGTCAGCCAAGGCGAATTAATAAAGTGGACCACAAAAATGCAAGGTGGTGTAATCTGCGTAAGAGATTAAACTTCTTATCATTTCGCTAAAATCAGTAAACGACACACTCACACAGTTAACTATTGTTATAATAACAGTTGTAATAACGTTTAACGAGCTCCATGACGTGTGGGTTACCAGTTACCACGATACCACCATTGTTTTAAGCAAAAACATGACGGAGGAAAGAATTTTGTTTATGTTTTAAAGTGTGGGTAATATAACTGCCCGTGAAACGCAGGTGAAAGAGGTAATGAAATGTGACCATTTTTTCTAGAGTGGTTTAAGTACGAACATAAAAACATCAGGTCAAGGTTTTTGAGAATATGGTTAGGTTTATGTTATGCATAGGTAAATTGGAGAAATGTTTGCTAATTATGAAATGCAAAACACTATAGAAATCGACATTACATAATTCACAAATCATAAATAAAAATAAACAAAAGTGGGTCACCCTTACCATAGCTGAAAGAAAGTAACATGCTTTTTAATGACCACCCCAATTAAAAGTATAAAATATAAAACACAAAGAACAGTAGAATCGTACTCCGGTAGCAACTCAATAGGTTCTTGCAATAAACCTTTATAAAACTAACAACAAATTGAACAAACAACGAAGCTAAATTGATTCTTATATCGCCATCAGTCCTGGGAACTGTGCACAAAGGCAGCCGCTAGTTTATTGCCAATGTCCTCGGATATCCATATAAATTGTACGGGGAAATTCAACGGCCATCTGGATTCGATAGGGATCTTGATGGATAGATTACAATGGCGCTCGCACTTAGAGCTACGTACGAATCCAATGAACAATTGATGTGAACGAATTGTTTGTTTGTGGGTAACTAATTGAATGTGCGAATTCGAAAAGTAACGGTAGTTGCAAATAAAGAAACGGGGCCCGCTACATCGAGAGCAAATATATTCTAATGACAATATAAATGTGCTTTCAACAAAAACAGAAAAGGAAAAACCAGAACATGAATATTAAATTGGTGAATCTGAAACACCTGTGACTGTCCTTTATCTTGCTTTAAGATAATTTCATATATAAACCATTTTGTAATCAAAGGAATTAGTCGGCATCTTTTAAACAAAGCAAAAATGTCACGAAAGAATTACAACATTGTATTCTCAACCATCCTAACACAGGAACAACAAAAGCGTAGCCGCGGCTGCGCGTGCCACTATCTTCGATCTCCAAGCAATATGGCGCCATGGCGCCGATTCTAAATCACCGTTTTAGACAAAAAATAACTCATTATCTGTGGCGATTCATTATTGAGAGTCGATCAACTTCGGAAACTTGTTAGGACACCGAAACGTATTTCATACGAGACGTCGATTTGAGGACGAAAATGTATTTATCAATTTTTATAAGATTTACATACCTTCTTAAAATATTTTTACTAATTTTATTAAATGCATTAATATTTTATAGTTGTTCGATTTGAATTTTGAAATTATATGTTGTTTCTATTACTAATTTAATACATTAATCATAAAAGTGGGTGCGTTGTAATATGATGTAACTTCATTAAACATTATGCCCTACACCTTGTAACCGAACAGGCAAGAATACAAATAATAATAACTGCCCAATAATATAACATTAGCACTTCTAAGGATACTTAACGTGTAGTGGGAATCTCTAGAAAGTTGTCACGAAAACCGGCTTAAACCAGAGTCGAATTTGCGAGAGAAACCCCGCAGGCCCGCACGTGTGCAAATGTCCTTAATTATAGGTATGTGCGTCAAATATATTATGTACTCGCATTACCGTCACGCATATAATCCCAGCGGCAGGCAGAGGTGTCGTGTTACTTGAACTTGACTCCAACGTTGAAGACGTGGAAGGGGGCGAGAGCAACAAGATTCTATTCGAAGATAATATTAGGAAAAAATTATGACCATCAGTAAATATGCACGAATACTCCATTGCTAAAAATACACACGTGTAGCGTGTAGATGATATAGTCGAAAACTACTCTAAAATCAATTCTCACGGGGATATAGGAGAAATTAATGGGTACCGCACACAATAGACTGACACCATTAGACAATGGATGATTGTTTAATGAAATTCAACGACTATTGATTGATTATAAAATACAGATGACCTGTTAGACGCATAGACCGAACAAGGTGATGACATCACAGTACACTATAACCACAACCATTATGCCATAAACACTATCAGAGTTCAAATCAAAAAGTTTACATAAAAGTTGATAGTTCAACGGTTAATTCATAATGACCTTTACATACATTATGTAATCCCTTTAAAAATAAATACTTAGATACAAAAGAAACCATTGTACAGAGATAATAATGAGAACATTCTCTAGCAGTAATTTCAAATAGCACGATCTCTGAGCTTATCGGTATAAACCCATCAGGTAATAAGGGACTGCAGTGTACCTACTTGTGTTTTGTAACTATTTTGATGGTACTAAGACAAAGATTTTCTCGGCTAAGACTTCATTTTCATTACAAAAGTATTTTAGCAGATGGATTTTTAATTGAATATTGCCACAACAGTATTTTTTTTATACATTTGATGGGCTGACGTTCGACCACTATCTCGCCTGGTGGTATGCGATGATGCGGTCTACGATGGAGCACGTCGACCCAAGTAACCTATTTACTCGGGCCTTGAAGTCACCCAGGTTCAGGAAATACAGACTCAGACAATTTTCAATGCTTCTGAAGTTTAAGTCTATTTGACAGAAGGCGCCAATATTTATAATTTCCTATTAGTTTAGTAAAAAAGAATATTGATCCCTTTTCTTTACGTTACATTTAAGATAGTAAGCAATGAATTATAATTTGGTGCTTCACAGCTAGCTGTATTAACTAGTCCAATCTGAAGATAATAAAATTAAGAAGGAGGAAGGAGATGAAATACAGATAGTGGCTTCAAACCCCGTTGACAAAGAACATTGATCCGGATGTAAAATATCTCCATTTGTTTGGATTTTCCAGACAATAAAGATGTTGGAGTACCCACGCAGTCGTGTATGGAACTAAAATGGAACATCTATGTAGGTTGAAGCCGTTTGTCATAAGACATGACTACCTATTGTTATGTGAGCATTGTTAGATCATTCTGGTTTATGCCTATTATATTTGATGTCTAAATCTTATTCAGTTTTATTGGTGCCTATTTCAACAGCTACTCGTTTATGATGCCATTAACGCCTATCTCCTATTTGGCATCTTTTAATATTAACAAATCCTTTCTATAATTGGCAACGTCGAGTTTCATTTCTAAAGGTTTTTTTCTCTCTTATGTTTCAATTTGCTACATACGATTTCAAAATAGTATCACCAAACACCAAACGGTGTCTGAATTTATGTAAAGAAACCAGATCCACATCCAAATTAATCTCAATAAACAGGCTCGAATGTGGTCGACGTCTAATAAATAACAGCAGTGGGCCATTCGCTCCATACGTCGCGGTCGCCAGGGTCTAAGTGTGTCACATGGTCAACAATCGCCCAATTCTGCTCCAAAGTGTCACACTACAGCTGATCACAACACGTTGTCGTGTGCTTGTGTTAAAAATTCGTGACTCCACCTCACGACTTGAACGGAACCTGTCAACTGACATGTATTGTTCGTTCACCCTTATACTATTGTCCCCAATGATCCGCAAATCTCGGTCTTATCGTCCAACAATCGAATGTAAATTACGACGATATTTGTGTGAATCCACCTTCTCCATCGTGTCTTGGTTTCAGCTTATAAGGCAAGTCCTGACAGTACATATGTAGG